AGAGAGAGAGAGAGAGAGAGAGAGAGAGAGAGAGAGAGAGAGAGAGAGAGAGAGAGAGAGAGAGTTTTGTTCAATTTATTATTATGAGTGTGAGAGAGAGAAAAAAAAAGAGATAGAGAGAGAGGGAGGGGGAGGTGTGACGAACTGTTTTCTACAACCGCGCAATTTTCTGCGCAAGGCCACTTCGGGGGTTGAATCGGGAGGGCCTGCTGGATTATATAGGTGCCCTTGCTTTTCTTGTTTTTCGAAATCGAGGCCGGGGTAATCATGTGACGGTTGGTAGCTGATCGTGCCTTAGCGAGCACGAAAGATAACTGTTGTCATAGCTTCTTTCTTATTCTGCTGTGCGGAATGAGAATTTTGGCGAGATCATCGCGCGAAAAAATATTTTTGAATTTTCAACTGATGTCGAGCCCCCGTGGGCTCTCGGAGTTTGCTTCGCTCGAAATTTCTTTTTACAATTAGGATTTAGATTAAGAATTTGGGCGCATCTCAATTTTTGCTGCACGATGCTTCTTGCTTGCGCACGCCTTGCCGCAATAGGATCTGTGCTCTGACTTATCCGCGCCTTAATCCTGCTTGTAACTGTAGTTTTTATTTTGTCGAGTGTGAATGCAACCGTAATCCCCGCGTTCTTGAAATCTTATGTGGCGCCCCTGCGCGCGCGTACTTCTTCCCCTGTTCTATTGGCCTGAACGCTTGCATGACAGGATTGATGTGTGGAGTGAGGCTACGTCCCCCATGCCGCGACCTGGCCATGCAATCGTAGGCATTTCCTTCCTTTTCCTTCCTTCCCACTCAGGCATAACCCGGGGTATCGCGAGCACGCATGCATGCTATAAATTTCGCAAACGCGATTAACTCGCTCTCTAAAAATTTTGGAGTTAGAGCGGTCAAGAGCATCGGCTAATGAGCAAGAGTTGGAAGGTGAGTAGAGAGTTGGGCGATCCGACGGGTTGGGGCTGGGCATGCGGGGTTGACGTGGGGCCGTGACGGACTGTGGCGTACGGGCAAACCTGACTTGCATGCTCGGACTAAACGGGGTGACAACTCTGTGTGAGTGCGAGGCGACGGACTACCCGCAACGGGATATTGTGAAGCGAGAGAGCGAGAGAGGGAGACTGGACGTGTTGTGATGGTGTTTCTCTTCGATCCTTCTGAGCAATTTTGGTATTCGGCGCAAGTCGCCCTTGTCCTTTTTTTTGGATCGGCATCTCAGATATTTTCTTTGTCCCTTCTCAAAGACTGATGTGTGATTGTCTCCCCGACTTCCCTTCCCTTTTCTGCGTGAATTGACAATTCGATTGGATGGTCACCTGTGATTGGATTTTGTTTGATCCCCGGGCCAATGGCCAAAGAATTGATCAACTTCTTTTGAGTCTGAATGTTTGCATGAATGTTTGATGTCTGGGTATGACTAGATGGGCAGGCTAGGCGTCAGCCTCATGACAGGATTGCCCGCCTTTGGGATAACAAGCCCGTGCGTATCAATTAAGAGTTGCTGACCGTTATCCCACCCGACAGACGAACAGGTCTTGTGCACGCACGTGTGAGCCCGACCGAGGAAGGTCGCTACTTACACGCGTGTCTGCAAAACCTGTACTCGGCCTACTTCCCGAATGTCTGAATTTCTGCCTATCCTGCAGTATGAATCTTGAAATCCCCTTTCGTATCACTGACCGCGAGTGTTTGAGGGATCGAGAATTCCGGGAATGTTGGGAACACTCTTGCCTCTCCGCACGATCAAGGGTGGAACCCCTGAATTTCCCTTACTTAATCGGGAATGAACGTGTTTGCGAGTGGGACATTGATCAGGCCTTGGGACGTATCCCCCATCTCCCCAGCTACCCTAACCCATACACGTGTCACGTCGTCACAGAACCCGGAATCATTATCTTGGGGACCGAATTCCCTCCCTATCACCACATCCTACCCTATCACTCCCTAACCATCGTCCCCTGGCGCACAATCGCTCCTTACTGGCCTCAACCCCCATGCTCGGAGTGTCTGCGGGACCACGAGTACCGAGCCTCCGGCGTCCTCCCGCAAACTCGCTCGGAGGAAGAACGGCGCACAGCCTTCGATTGAGGCCGACCGCATCGGATTCTGAGACTTGAGATGTTTGACGCCGGCAGGTGACCAGCCAGCGGGAAAGCCATAGCGTCCCGATGGTGCACCAAATACGAGCCCGACCCAGACGACAGGACCAACAGAGGCGGTAGCTTCGCTTCCCGGAGCACAAAACAGGACTCCAATCTGGGCCTACCCTCCTGCATTCTATGGGGCCTTAGGGCTGCGAATTATTTTGTTCATCTGGTGTCTATGGGGCCTTGAACCCACGCCTGCCTATCATCTTTCAACCCTCTAGCTGAAGATACCCTACGATTTCCCAAATTTGGTGAGTAGGCCTATGGGCTTTTCCCACGCGTTGTCCCCCGCCATCGGGAAAAAAGAGGCCTTGTGGCACCAACAGACGGCTCCGTGGAACTGGGCGAACACTGAAACTGCTGGATTCGGGTCATGGGCCATGGGACTCATGGCATTTATTATTTTGATTCTGTCGGAGTCAATAGCTTTCACCTTTTGCCTTCGCGCGCACTCAAAACTCCTGAATTTCTGGACTGGATTTGACTACCTGCCAGTAGGAGGACAGGTCGAGCAACTTCTGCCAGCGTTGAAGACCACGACTGGAAGCAAAAAGGGTGTAGGACGGAGGAGAAGGAGAAAACTGTCTGAGGTACTGGAACATTCATTCATTTCAGTTTCCATCATTTTCGGTTTCGTCTTCGTGTTGTTGCTTGTTCTTACGTCAGCATTTTTTGTCCGGCTCAGACAGGTCAGGTCGTCTTTGCCAGCATGCATGCATGTGCGTGCGGACGTGGTTGTGTGAGAAACGGAGAAGAGACCCCATGGATATGCACAAACACGTGCACGAGCAAACAATGGCGCGTGCTGAAGAGAGAGAGAGAGAGAGAGAGAGAGAGAGAGAGAGAGAGAGAGAGAGAGAGAGAGAGAGAGAGAGAGAGAGAGAGAGAGAGAGAGAGA